GGGTCTTTTGGAACATACACCCTGCCTCGGTAGAGGACCAACTCTCCCTGTCTCTCCCACTCGTCCGACCTTAACGTCCCTTCTCCCAGTTCTCTCATGGCCTTCACCACCCACTCGTCATGATCCTTCGCTCCTCATATCCTCCCTGGAATATCCGCCTCCTCACCTTCCACTGAGACTGCTTCCATCACACGGGCCTCGAACCAGGCCGGTTGGAGGAGGGTCAGCCCCTTGTTGTCGTCCCTTCCCTTCAGGTGGTCAGTGTGGCAAGAGTGTGTGTCCGGTTTCCCCATGAGCTTCCCTGGGCGGTGGATGAGGGTGAAGTGGAAGCGGGAGAGGAAAAGGGACCATTGGGCCTGACGTCGATTTAACCTCTGGGCTGTCCAGAAGTAGCCCAGGTTACAGTGGTCCGTGTAGATCTCGACTTTCTCCTCAACACCTTCCATGAAGTGTCGCCATTCCTCGAGGGCTCGGACGATTGCAAGCATCTCCTTATCGTACACTTCATAGTTGCGCTCTACGTCCGTGAAACTTTTGGACATGAATGCTACCAGGTGGAATTCTCCATCCGGTTGGAGTTGGGAGAGGACTGCACCGGTTGCAAAGTTGGATGCATCGCACTTGAGCCTGAAGCGGCCGTGGTCAGTAGGGAAAGAGAGGACAGGGGCTGTGGTGACAGCTTCCTTGAGGGCGCAGAAGGCATCATCTTCATCCGGGCCCCAGTTCCAGGTTTGGGTCTTCCAGGTCAGCCTGTGAAGGGGGCCTTCTCAGAGAAGTCTCTGATGAACCAGCGATAGAAGTTTATGAATCCTAGGAAGGATTGTACCTCTTTCACCTTGGTTGGGGGGGGCCAGTCGAGGACTCCCTGGATCTTCACTGGGTCCATCGCGACATTACCCTCCGAGATAACAAGGCCCAGGTACTCGATCCAGGTTCGCTCAAACTTGCACTTCTCTGGCTTAAGGAAGAGCCTCCTTCTCCTCAGCATCTCTAGGACTTCTCGGATGACCCTTCAATGTTCCTCCAGGGTGGCTGTGAAGATCAGGATGTCGTTCATCATGGTCTGGAAGGTTGCCAGGGAGTTACACAGGCCGAAGAACATCACCATGGGCTCGAACAGCCCCGGTTGGTCGCGAATGCCGCCTTCCACTCGTCTCTGTCCTTGATCCAGACGTTGTTAAACCCCCAGCGTAGGTCTAAGGCTGAGAAGTATTTGGCATTGCAGAGGCAGGTGAGGACGTCCGAGATGAGGGGGAGTGGGTACGAGTTCTTCACCGTGATCTCATTCAGCTTCCTGTAGTCCTGGACCAGGCATAGGGACCCATCCTTCTTCTTGACAAAGAAGACTGGTGCTCCCATAGGGGACTTGGATGGCCGTATGCGCCCGTTCTGTAGGTTCTCGTGTAGGAACTTGTCCAACTCTTTCTGTTCCGGGCGCGAGAGTGGGAAGGTCTTCCCCCTGGGCAGTTTGGCATCTGGTACCAGGTCTATAGCATGGTCCCAGGGCTTCCGGGGAGGCAATTGGTCAAAGGCTTCTTTGGAGAACATGTCCCGGAAGTCCTGGTAGTGCTCTGGTACTAGCATCTCAAACGACGCGGGCTCAGCCTCCGGGTTGCAGGCCTCCTGGGCCATCCGCTGCAAGGGGGTCATGGTGGCTCTCAGGTCATGGCCCCAGCTTGGGGGGATGATAGCAGCATAGATCCCATCCCCAGGTTCCAGTACAGGGTCCTGATCATCTCGTACTCGCAGCTGTCTGCAGGAGGACGGGCAGCGGGACATGACAACCTTTTGTCGTACCCAGTCCACTTCTGGGTTGTGGTGCAGCAACCATGAGTGTCCTATGATGAGGGACTGTCATCCGAGATTTGCAACCGCGAAGCGTGCCTGCTCTGTGTGTCGCCTGAAGGTCAAGAGGGCTTCTAGCTCCTCTGTTATAGCTCCATTTTCGTTCAGGGTTCCATCAACATTATGGACGGGAATGGGCTGGGGGAGGGGGGTTGTCTCTAGGTTGTGCTTCTGGATGAACTCGGGGCTTACGAAGTTCCCAGTGGCTCCTGAGTCCAGGAGGGCTGATACAGATACTGATGCGAGGGAGGTTAGGGCGGTCAGTTTCACTGTGAGGTTAAGGGATCTGGGGGACTGCTTGGAAAGGACGTAAATGGCTGGGGGGGAGACCGCTACCTCGGGCATTACTGCCCTTGGGGTCTTCTCGTTCTCAGGGGTGGAGGATGCATTTCTCCTCCTTTTCTTCATGATGACTCGGTGAAACTTTGGCATTGGCATTGGCTTACGCGCACTGCAGTATTTACACGAGCTATCTTCTACAGGCAGCCAGGATGCATCCCTTACCGGTTGCCTGCCTGAAAATCCCTCTGAGGTTCTGCCTCTGATTCCCCTTCCACCGTCTCTGTCCCTTCAGTCAACTGTCTTTTCAGCCCTTCCATCAGTGTTCTCAGGTCTTCCGGGTGGAGACATCGTACTGGGTGACCCTGGGGTGTGGGCATTCTCGTGCGAGATGCCCTGGGGTGTTACAATTGTAGCACCGCCTCTGGTCAGTCCTCGACCTGTCAAGATCCATCAGCTGGGGGCCTGTCCCTGGCATAGGATGGGCTGCTGGAGTGGGGGGCAGAGGTGCAGGAGCAGGTCGTGGGGGGGTCTGTGCGGGTCGCACCTGGGGTGGGGTCGTGGTCAGCGGAGGTCAAGCTGGCAGGAATGGGGGTCTGGGTGGGGGTGCATGTGGTTGGGTGGCTTGGAAACGTCACCACTGGTTGTCCAGAAGCGTGGCTTTGCACTTCCACTCCGTCGGGCATGGGGTGGAGGCGGTATATACTCTCCCTGAGCCGGGAGTTAATTGCTTGCTTGAACCGGTCAACCAGTCCGACATCGCCTAGCCTCGAGGCGGGTCCCAATATCTTGAACTCCTGGATGACCTTATCCACGGAGTCAGTCCCTTGGCAGATGACTGCCAACTTCTGCCGAGCTGTGGCCTCCCAGTTTGGGTCCTGGAACATGGTGTCAAGTTCTGTGTTGAACTCGTCCATGGTTATGGTGGGGGAGCTGACTGTCAGCAGGGTGATCATCCATTGTGTCGCCCATGCCCCTGCAGGTCCTCCCTTCATGTAGGAGAGGACGAAGAGGATCTGGGATAGTTCAGTAGGGAACTTGGCTGTGCGGACATGGAAGTAGATCCTGCACTTGGCTTTGAAACGGTCAAGGTCTTCACTGGCTCCCGAGAAGGGAGTGGGGGCAGCGACCTTCAGTGGTTTGGGCCTAGGTGCAAGTGTGGGTACAGGCGTGGGTGCAGGTGCGGGTGCGGGTGCAGGTGCAGGTGGGGGGTGGTTGCGGGATTGGCTCTCCACAATGGCTTGGAGCTCCTGGAAGCGGGCCAGCAGGTTGTCATACTGTTCTTCTGACACCATGGCTGGGGAGATGGGGGAGGTGGGGGAGATAAGGTTAAAACCTTCTTCTGCTGTCAGGGATGTGTCCAGGGTCGAGGCGGCCCAAGGGTAATGCCTGGCACTGAGGCCGTCGTGGGGTGTGGAGCGGGCATGCATACTGGCGAGCCTGGTCCAGGACGATGGTCCCTGGCCACTCAGACTGAAGTGGGAACTGTGAGTTGTTATTAAAAGGGGAGGCTATGCTACTTACCTGAAGTGGGAACTGTGAGAAGAAGGTTACTTCTTCGGTTCCCACCCCAGGTACCTTTATGTACATGTGGCTTGGGTCACATGAGGTTTGCCACATCACCCCGCATACAGCTGCAGTCATCCAGGTGTCCCCATGGGGGATCCCGAGGGCATGTGCTGCATGCGCACATGCTGGGTTGCACCGCGAGGCCGTCCAGGTCATCCGGGGCTGGGTGTGTCGTGCACACGTTGCAGGCAGGCCAATAATACATAGGTATGAGGAAAGGTCGTCCATGTAGATAAAGATAGAAAGAACGAAGGAATAGAAGAACAAAAGGATAGAAAGAAGAACAAGAGTTGAGGAAACATGATGAAGGGTGGGGGGTAGAGGTGAGCAGGATACCAGGTCAGGGCAGGTGGAGCCGGGTCAGACAGGTGTGCCCTGACACCAGCTCACCAAGCGACCCAGCAACTGGGAAACTCTCAGAGCTAACCCCCCTTGGCCATACAGGCCCGACTTCCCTCCCCACTCACCTGTGCACTGGAGAACCCTGTTGAGGTGCCCCTTACGCCCAATTTGGGGCAGACCTGTCATTCCTCTAGCACTCTAGAGTGTGAGCGCACCAAGCTGCCCAGTGCTTTGCTGTGTGGAAGTCACAATGATTCCCCTGCCCCAGTGGCAGTGGAGTGCCAACGCAGCATCATACCGACTGCTCAAACGACTGGCCTGATGCCATTTACAGATGAGATCGGCAGCGCTTCAGCCACTGCCAAGTGCCAGCTCATAGAGCTGCCCAGCACTTTGGCAACTCCTGGGTTTGACAACCCAGAGGCACCTACCCCCTCCAATCTGAGGGAGGACAGATCCGAAGCACCCCATAGGCCCTCTGCAGGCCGAGAGGGACGCTTTCCTGGCGCTTTCAAGTGCCAGGTCACCAAGATGTGCAGCAATGTTCTACATCGCGGTCTTGGTGATTCATTGTTGTCTACCCCTTCCACGGAAGGGAGACCAACCCTTTCCAAGGAAAGGGTTCTCTTCTGTTGTTCACTGCATAGTGAACGATCTGTCTTGCCAACAGACACTCCACCTCCAAGGGAAGGTCTGTGTATTCCTGGTGCTGTTGAGTGCCAGGTCATCAAAATGCGCGGTGCCTCTCTGCACTGCGCTCATTTCCTTATTGCCTTCCCATCTGGAAGGCTGGCCCTTTCTAAGGAAAGGGCTTCTCTCTATTGTTCACTTTATAGTGAACAAGCTGTCCCACCGACGGACAAGCTGCCCCCAACAAAAAACCCGTGTCTGAATGATCAGACACGCTCAGTCCTGGTACCCCTTCCCTGATGGTTTGGGAGATCACTTGATCCCTTCCTCCAACAAAACCCGTCAACGCTCAATTTCCAATCCATGTGATGCGAAAGTCCCCTTCTGTTCCTCCGACTTCCGAGACAAATGTCGATCAACAAACACCTAAAATGGAGCCTGATGCAGATCCGATGTCCCTCATGTGGGTGGATGAGCCTAAGGGGTTGGAATTCATGTCCATATTTGCAGCCACCGGAATAATCTTTGGGGGAATTCATTGCCTTGCATGGTCGTTTCCCTTTCCGACACGCACGGAGATGATTCTATGGCGGGTTTCAGCGATATATATCACAGTAGCTCCTGTCTTTCTATTTTTGATTTTTCCGATTGGATGGGTTGCAGGTGTCATATGGGTTAAGGCATGGGTGGGGGATTGTGTCGCATGGCTTGATGATCATGTTCATGAGTCTATTCTTAAGGGCATAGTATTACTTCCTCCACTTGTTTACGCTGCTGCGCGGGTCACCCTGACTGTTCTCGCCTTCAGTTCTTTGCATTCACCTCCGCCCAGCCCATACCAGACCCCATCTTGGTCATCATTCGACCCGCATTTTGGATAGTTGTGTATGTACTGCGATTTTAGTTAAAATTACAGGACAAAATTTACCTCTTCCAACATTTCTTTCCCCACTGCATTCTTTGCCTCCCTGTACTGCATGTAATTATGTGCTTGATGGCAGTCCTACTTAATGCTTGTTCGTTAAAGATGACAGCAATTATGCATGTTGCTGTTGGTGGGACTAGGACCGCATTTTGGGTGATGTCAAATCAAATCAACTTGACACTGCTCCAAGCAGTGCATCGGTGCCAAGTTCCCCATTGGGATTCGGCATCAGGTGAGTAGCCTTGAGGCTTTGCGATGTGAAACATTGCTGCACCCTATGTTTGCTCCTGCCGACTGAGCACCATGATGAATGTGTGGCCTAAATTAAAAAGCAAAAAAAAAATCCTATTGATTACAAAAAAAAAACGGGCCCGAGATAAATATGATAACTACTCACCACCCAAGTTTCATCTTGTTCCACCCAGCCATTGTGTTGATGAGCGACACTTGATCTCGGAGCTGGACTAGAAGCGTGAAGCTCAGTCTCAGCTATATGCGTGAAGAACTGAGGGAAAAGGAAATGAATTCAAATGAATGAATATATCCATGGCCTGGCATGGGTTAGTCCGAAATAATATAAAAGAGGTCTTGTGACTAAGTAGTCACATGGTGGATTCTGGGCAAGTTGCTCTCCCAGAATGTTCCCACGCTAATGCAGGAATGTGGCTGTTCAGGTTAGCTCCATTGGAGTACCCTCATAGCACACGGTTCCTCCAACACATTGTTGAGAAAGGTTGGGGCAATGGTGTCAAACTTATACTGAGCACCATGATGAACACACAGCCTAATTCAAAAGCAAAAAGAAATCCTATTGACTAGAAAAAAGTGGGGGTCTGAGATAAGCACAATGGCTACTCACTGCCTGACTTTCGTTTCGTTCCACCCAGCTGCTGTTGAGAAAAGTGAGGGTGACTGTTTGAGTGCTGTGATAAGCACACAACCTAATTAAAAAACCCTATTGATTAGAAAAGGAAAGAAAAAAAAGGGGGTGGGGGTTGAGATATATACGAGAGCTACTCACTGCCTGGCTTGTGATGCCATTCCACCCAGCGGTTGCTGAGGAAAATGTGGGCAACATGTTAAACCTATAACTATAAAAAATGAGAATTACAATTATCAGTGAAATGAATATCTGTCAGAAGAACGTTCCTTAGATAGGTCCGATTGCTATCCAGGCAACACTGTCGGGTGGAGCTCGGTGTTCTGGGTTGTCCGACGGTGGGTTGGAGACAGACTGGAGGTGGGTGGAGCTCCGAGGGTGACGAGGTGTTGAAGGGACTCGGCTTCAGGGACTCAGAACGGAGCGCTGCACCTGTTATGTTCTCATTGTCCCCAATTTGTCAGGGGAGCTGGTGATGGAGGAACCGAGGCCGCCAGCAGAAGGGGCCAGAAGCCCCCCCTCACTACTTAATGATGGAGGCATTAGCGAGGGTCAATCGTTCATCATGCAATTCATTTGGGTTTTATACCAAGGCGCCTCTAGATGTGCCTGTCACTCAGTTCTTAGTTCTAGACAAGGGGGACGCAATAGATGTCCTAGAGGAAGATCTTTGAGGGGCTTAAGACTTCTATATTATAACTGGGGGAACTATTTACTGGAGGGGTACACATGTACATATATCAGAACAGTTTGGATCTGAAGGTAAACAAAGGTTACCAAGGGGAAGGGGAAGTAAATAGAAAGAATCCACATGACAAATAAGGAATAGGTGAAAAGCCTGAATTACATCTGAGGTTTGTGGAGTGGGAGAATAAAAAGCCAACTGAATGGCAAGGTCTGAACTGTCTAAGAATAAGCAGGGGACTACAGAGAAAGACATCTGGAAAGGTCTGGAGCCTGGAAGTTGTAGTCCAGAAGATTGGGGTTGTAGAAAATATCAAATGATAAAACAATAAAGATTATCAAGACCGGAGGTAAGGTAGGAATGGGGAGGTACTGGAGGTAAGGAGGTACTGGAGGCAAGGAGGTACTGGAGGCAAGGAGGTACTGGAGGCAAGGAGGTACTGGAGGCAAGGAGGTACTGGAGGCAAGGAGGTACTGGAGGCAAGGAGGTACTGGAGGCAAGGAGGTACTGGAGGCAAGGAGGTACTGGAGGCAAGGAGGTACTGGAGGCAAGGAGGTACTGGAGGCAAGGAGGTACTGGAGGCAAGGAGGTACTGGAGGCAAGGAGGTACTGGAGGCAAGGAGGTACTGGAGGCAAGGAGGTACTGGAGGCAAGGAGGTACTGGAGGCAAGGAGGTACTGGAGGCAAGGAGGTACTGGAGGCAAGGAGGTACTGGAGGCAAGGAGGTACTGGAGGCAAGGAGGTACTGGAGGCAAGGAGGTACTGGAGGCAAGGAGGTACCAGAGGTAAGGAGGTGCGGAGATCGAAAGTAAGCAGGGGGGTGGATAGGCAAGTTGAGGTTTAACAACAATGAGCAGGTCCATCTCCTTTGAACAAGGGGTCTGAGGAGGTGGAGGTATGGTGGTGGAGGTCCAGAGGTGATGTGGACGTAGATGGGAGGCAGAGTGGGAGAGAGTCAAAGGAGGGGGTAGTACTAGGGCTGTTGGCATTGACTGGAGGTGTTAGGTACGGGTCAGCAAACGGGGACGACTGGCAGGGACAAGGCTCCGGGGTTGGGCTTCGGCCTCAGCGACTCCAAGAGAGCGCTGTGCCCACCTACTGTCTCATTGCCCACATTTCGAAGTGGCTTGGGGCTGCCTTGTTAGGGGGACAAACCATGTCGATATTCAGACTAAAGTTATAATAATGTAATATACATATATATATAGTAAGAAACTGAATGAGTCAGGTGACAAAATGAAACAAAAGGAAACAGAATAAGGGCCGGCATCTGGGTCAGAATGCATGGTCGTGACAGGAGGCAGCAGAGAGAGATTGGGAGGGCTGGTGGAGGTCATAGGAGTCGCATAGGAATAGGGCAGAGGGAGGTGGAGGATCCAGGATATGACAATATCTGAAGAAAGGAAAAATAAAAATATTTCCCAACAAAATGAAAGTCTCTAGCTCATCTGGTTGCAGAGATATGATGAGTTTTTGGTTGGGCTTGGTTTTGAGTGATTGTGCCAAATCAAGTCACATGGACATCAATATGGTTGCCTGGTCATGTGCAACTTTGCATTACTTTGTTTGCAAGACAAATATGTATGAGTTCTAGGGAATCTCTCGATGATTTGAAAGTCACAAGCCTCAGGTGGCATCTGTGAGGACTTGTGAGTTGTGTTCAATAGCGATTCTATAGTGCTTCAAGTTTAAATTGCACACTTTCTTGATGATCAATGGGGCACTGACTTGCACTGACTTGTACTTGTCACATGGGTGGACCTTGATGCATTCATTGATGCATGGTTTCTTCAACCTGTCAAAAGGAAGCACTATGGGCCTGAATCACTTGCTAGTCTGGGACCCGACTGACCCTACTGAATAGAGGTCAGAATGTGGCCAGATAAGGAAGTGCCGCATAAGGGAATACTGAATAGCGTCTGTGATGTGATTCAAATGTTTTGTATTGTACATGTAATTATGATGACCATTGCTGGAGTCCAGTTTGCAGAGGGTTGCGCAACAAGTCATTTAGCATTAACCCATGTGGTCATTGCACCCAACCCAAGCCTGGGAGCTTGAGGAAGCACTGTCATATCCATACTACTCTGGACCTCTGCTCCTGATTCTGGACCTCCATCTCCTCCTCCCCCTGTTGGTTGTTGAGAGCTGTCAGGGCCCGGCCTCGGACTCGGAGGCTCCCTGACCTCATCCCCCATCTGGCCTGTCCTCACACTATGCGGGGCATGAGATGTATAGTAAAAGGAAAGAGAATATATACACTTGCCTATGCGGGGCATGAGATGAGAAGAAGGGTAAAGGTCTCATCTCCCCGCATGGTTGCTATATAAAGGAATGGGTCACATGCCCACAACTATACAGCTCTTAGAGTTGTGTAGTGTGACCCGGAGGGAACATCCAGGTGGCAGTGCCAAGCGTGGGAACATTCTGGGCGAGTTGCTCGCCCAGAACTGTGGCTGTGACCCGTGGGAACATTCTGGGCGAGCTGCTCGCTCAGAAAGTTCCCGCGCTATCCCATGCGCGCACGTGTACACAACACACAAAGGCAACAACAAGGCAGCAGTTGAAGAATAAAAGGGGGTAAAGTAGGTGGGGAGTCCGGGGCACCCTAAGGCAGGGTGCTGAACCCTGACAAGAGCCCACTCTACCTCTGGCTCCAACACAATATCCAACACTACCTCCAGTCCAACTCCAGTTTACTCTGGGTCTGATCCCAACCTTGTACCTTCCAGACCAGAGCTTGTGATGCTCCACACCTCCAGCTCTGGACTCCTGTACTGGAACCCCATTGCACCTCCACCTCCGGAACTCCAGTCACATCTCTGCCCCCAGACTTTGACCTCCTCCTCCATCTTATCTCCTTGTATTCCTTATTGCATTTCATTTATTACATCTAGCCAATATTCCGGACTTAGACTTCTGACTCCGGACCCTGCAGTCTCTACTGTATGGTGTCATTTAATCCTCTTGTTGCTCCTTCCTTATTTAGATGGCTGCTTCCTTTCCATATTGGTCAGCTGTCATTCCCCACAACTGTCAGGGCCTGGCCTCCGTCCGGGGGCGGCCCTACCTCAAAGCTGGACACTTGCGGTGTCCCAGGCAGCCAGGTGCTGGATCCTATCCCAAGCTCCTCAAACTCACTAAGCGGGGATTGAGTTGTCATGTATTATGGAAGGTAGCTACAACTTGCCTAAGCGGGGATTGAGTTGAGAAGAAGGGTAAGTTTCCCTATTCCCCGCTTGTCTGCTATAAAAGGAAATGTACTGTACAGTTCGTAGCGTGACTATGGGTAGAAGCCGAGCATGTTCCCGCGATGCGGAAAAGGTGTCACATGGGTTAAGGCGAGTTGCTCGCCTTGACCCACGTGATTTTTCCCACGGGTTCGCATGCGGGCTGTAGTTGCGAAAGATGGGAGGATGAGGGAAGTGGGGGAGGTTAGGGAAGGTGGTTCTGGGGTTGTATGGTCAGGTGTGGTTGCCCTGACAACAACCCCCTCCACTCCTTCCCCTCTTGGCCTTGCCCTTTTGGGAAGTACCATAGAGTTCCAACCCTTGACCCTTGGGGTTGTTCCCTCATCCAATCCCCCTTTGTCTCCTTCCAGTTCCCTTTGTCCTCTGACTCCACTCCTGAATTATTATATATACACTCTGTACATAGTTTCCTGTACCCCAAGTCTGAAATCGATGACTAGAGAACCAGAATTGACTGGATTGTCCCCCCAAGAGACTCCCCCTTGCCAACCTGAAATTAAGGACCACTTAGACAACAAACCAATGGCACAGTGCTCCACTTGAGTCGCTGAGGCCAAGGTCCCTCCTTACTGAGTCCCTTCCTCGCTTCTGGACAATTACATGCTCTATAACAAGCACAGTCAAGGTCATGGTGTCAATACCTGGGCATGTGGTAAAATTAATAGTTTAAATATTAGTTGTAACTGTAACTGCTGTTGGTGTGCTGTAGTGTAGATGTTATAGTGTGAGTTGAGGCTATGCAGTCTTTTTGGCTGCATGTGTTTGATTCTCACTTGTTGCAACTTTTTTTGGCATTCTCCCATGCAATAATTGCATGCCCAGCATTGAGGAAGTGCAGAGTCAAAGCTGCAGAGTTGATACCTGGGCAAAGAGAATGCCAGAAAAAGGTGGCAACAAGTGAGAATTGAACACATGCAGCCAAAAAGACTGCATAGCCTCAACTCATGCTATAACATCTACACTACAGCACACCAACAGCAGTTACAGGTACAAGTAATATTTAAACCATTAATTTTACCACATGCCCAGGTATTGACTCCACAACCTTGACTGTGCTTCCTCAAGCTCCCAGGGTTGGGTTGGGTGCAATGACTGCATGGGTTAACGCTAAATGACTTGTTGTGCAACCCTCTGCAAACTGGACTCTGGCATTGGTCATCATAATTACATGTACAATACAAAACATTTGAATCACATCACAGATGCTATTCCCTTATGTGGCACTTCCATATCTGGCCACATTCTGACCTCTATTCAGTAGGGTCAGTCAGGTCCCAGCCTCTACTTTAGTAGAGGCTGGGATTCTGCCTAATCACTTGCAGCAATACCCCAGCATAATCAAGAACACCAGGGATACTAGAAAGGCTGCAATAGCAAGGAAGGAAATTCTTGACAGAAGCAAAGGTGATATGTTTTCCAAAATTATCATTGTCCTCCAACTGCTATGGTTTATCACTCAATATGTTGGATGATGGGCAGGCCATTTGCACATATTGCAACTCAAGACAATGATGCTGGGATTAATATGGTGGTATAAGCCCGTTGACATTCACTCCCTGATCTATGTGACCCAAGAGTCCCCTTCCATTCCTCCCACAGAGAAAAGTAATTCCATGACAAAATCGTGCCTGATATGTGACAGGAGTTTTGCTATTAAACACGAGTTCCTCTTGGCCTAGTACATGTGATAAATCCGGCTTTTTTCACCAATTTGATCAAAATCCTGCCATAAAATCTTGTCTTGCAACATATTTAATCAATTTATCCTGTACAAATTCATGATAGTATCCTTGATATATCCTTTTAGTGGTGGGACCAATCCTGCTTCACTTTGAGACTTAATCACATATCTTCAGAGACACTATACTGTCTGATTGATGTCAGGGTTCAGCACCCTGCCCTAGGGTGCCCCAGACTCCCCAACCAATCCCTTCCTTCCATTCCTTCATTGTTGCCTTTCTGTGTTGTGTATCCGCACGCACGGGATAGCGTGGGAACTTTCTGAGCGAGCAGCTTGCCCAGAATGTTCCCACGGGTCACAGCCACAGTTCTGGGTGAGCAACTTGCCCAGAACATTCCCACGCTTGGCACTGCCACCTGGATGTTCCCTCCGGGTCACACTACACAACTCTAAGAGCTGTATAGTTGTGGGCATGTGACCCATTCCTTTATATAGCAACCATGCGGGAAGATGAGACCTTTACCCTTCTTCTCATCTCATGCCCTGCATAGGCAAGTGTATATATTATCTTTCCTTTTACTATACATCTCATGCCCTGCATAGTGTGAGGACAGGCCAGATGGGGGTTGAGGTCAGGGAGCCTCCGAGTCCGAGGCCGGGCCCTGACAATTGAGAACTCAGCAAGCATGGTGATTATATTACATTTAAGGAAAAGTTTGAGATGGGAAAGGAAGCAATGGATATATGGATGGTTGGGACAGAATTTCTAGTGGTACACATTGGTGAGAGGGTCATGGTAATGAGGCACAAGGGAATTGGTGCAATGATAAATCAGCAAGAGGATGCAGTGGCAAAGGCTGGCATTGTGAAGCAGTAAGCATGTTAACCTAGAAGATTCAGAGTAAGTGCAAGTCAGATGCAATGGGATCAATGGACGATTTCCTTTCTGAGCCGAGCTCCTCAGGCTTGCACATCTACTTTTTCCCTGATCATCACTAGCATTCTGACCCTCACCCCTCAGGCTTGTGCATCTACTTCTGCACTGTTTGAATTGGCTCCTTTCTGACCCCAGTTTCTCAGGCTCATGTGTCTAGCTCTGTCCTCTGGGTGACAGCTGTAAGGAATGCCTAGAAATTATTTATGAGAGTGTATCAAAATAGTGAGGTGGGGAGCACCCTCACCTGGTTTGGTGCGAGTCCAATTGCTATTCAATTGGTCATGGAGCCCCCAAGGGTGTTTTCTACTAATCTCCACCTCATTCTCCTCATCCAAAGGGGTGGTTTTCTTTGGAAGGGCACAAGCTGTTTCAAAATGAGTGTGCTGAAAGAGTGGGTGAGGAAGTGACTTGCATTTTGGTCATGACGCTATCATGAGTGTTGGTGAACAATGCCAAGGCTCTCTTGAAGCCAATATCAAGCATGTACCTTTAGCTTGAGCAATGGACATGGAGGCATCTTCAGTCTCATCTTCACTTGTACAATTGTTGTAATAATGGGCATGAGGATGACCTATCCACGTCAGTGAAGCCATAGTTAGCTATATCTAAGGGAGGGGTGTCAGGGGACGACCTCTGGGTCCCCATGACTGTCAGGGACCAACCCAGGGTCAAGAGTGTCCAGGTATATCGCCCAGGGCTGAGGGCCCGGTAGAGTGTGACATGGGCAGGTGTAACAATGGGCCCAAAGCAGACAAGGGTCCCTGGCCACTTAGGCTAAAGTGGGAAGTGTGAGAAGAAGGTTGCTTCTCAGTTCCCACCTAGGCTGTGTTTATATACATGTAGTTAAGGCCACGTCATCTGTGCACACAGCCACATCCGTCTGGGTGCCCAGTGTGCGGGAGGCCACCTGGTGGGTCTGGGTGCATCATATTGCAGCTGGGCCAATGGTACACTGATAGGAGGGAAGTTGTCCATGTAATAAGTAAGGAAAGAAAGGAAAGAGAAAGGAGAAAGAAAGAGAAGAAGAGAAAAGGGAGGAGGAAGTAGGGAAGGAGTGGGTAGTGGGGGGCCGGGTCAGGTGGGTGATGGGGGACTGGGTCAGCTGGGGCTGGGTCAGGCGGGTGTGCCCTGACAATGACCCCTCTCTATGGCCCACACCCTAACCTATGACCACAGCCCATCTCAGGGCATAACTCTACTGTGGGTAAGAAAGTGAGAAGAAGGTTAACTTCTCACTTTCCCACAGTGGCCCCAATATGGTGAATGCTTCTGGGGATACCATGAGGGCAGGATCCGGGGCCAGATCATGTGGTGCATGGAGCATGTGGCGTGGGAATGCATGCAGGAAGTGTAGCAGGTCTGGGCTAGTCAGGGTGTGTGCCCTGACAAGGGGAAAATATCATACTTACATGTAGAGGTACAGACAATGTCTATGTGATCATGGGGAGTGTGATTAAACTGAGAACAGGTCAACTCTGCTCACCTTCATTGGTAACAGGATCACCAGTGTAGTTATTGTTAGGGGCCACAAGCAAGTGAAGCCTTTTCATCCCTATGTGATTGGGGAGTATGAAAGCTGGGCACCAGTGGGAAATATCTATGGTTAATACCCACCATTCTTTTGTGTCTGTTGAGAAGTTCTCCTGTTCCAGCAGCCACCCACACCCTTGGAATTGTCATTGGGGTCATCATTCTTGGACTTGGTGCAGTCATCATCTGATTTGGCATGATCCTCATCTAACTTGTTAAGTCCATCGTCCAAATCAATGTTGTCTTCTGATTCAACATGGTTGCCTTTCGGCTTGGTGCCACTTGCTGTTGCAGCACTAATCTCCCTTCCATTCCGAGAGTAATTCTGAGCCTTGGGGTCCATGGGGCAATTTCACCTGTATGGTAGAGTGGAATCATGGTCAGAGGTTATTGGCAGGCAGAGGAATTGTATTGCCTTTTTTCCGCTCATTTTGTCAAATGACTGTCTTGCAGTTCTCTATCACTGTTTTGATTAGTGCCTGAATAGGCCAGGTCCCTTCATAGTTTGATTTAATCCATGGATGTTCTTTGACGATCTATGTGGTGTAAAGAATTAATGTATAATGATGTTCAGAGTGATACAATATGCTCACATCATTTCTGATCAACCCAAGCACTTCAAGGTCAATGGAGTTGTACTTCACTGTACCATTCTTGAATGATCCCCTGAGATTTGCATGCAAAGAGGATCAAACAGATTCCTTACATGGGTTTGTCAATATAGGGCATTATGTAAAAATAAAGGCCTCACTTACTCATACAAGATTCATCTCATCCTTTGTAATCCCCATCACCTTGGTCAGGGAGAATCCACCTTGAAGACGATCTGCACAACCCACTGGGTGTGGTATTTGTTCTCGGACACGTTTCTGGCATGCTAAGGGCACAAAAATACAATGTAGTAACTAACATACCAGCGATATTACACCTTACACATACTGTTGTCCTTCTGAATCACTAGGCAATGCGATCAACCACAGAAGTGCTCTAAGATTTATGTTTAGAGATAAAAGTAGCAATAAACTCACCTGGTAGCTCTCTCTCTAGCTGTTCCATTTTGTGCTGGAGGCTGGAATGCATGCATTTTTGAGTTTTGGGGTGAGGCATGAGGAGTGGGGCGATGATGATCAAGCAGAAATGTGCTAAGTCAAATCCACTCTCACCCACAACAGAACCAAATAAACAAAACAATGCATCCCAAGTGCCCTTTCCTGGTTGTCGTGTTGCTAGCACAATCTTTCATTACTGGTGCATATCTGCCTTCTGAGAGACAGCAATTTGCTTGGGACTTGAAATAAACTTTCTGGGGCTCTCTAAAACTCTCTTGGGCTAATAATGGCTTATGCATGTCAGAGACCAGATGTGGGATGAAGGAGACGTCCCCATGGCAGAGGGCTTCAGCCTCAGCGACTTAGACCAAGAGTGCTGTAAGGAGTGGTAACCCCACCCCTTATTTCCCACTTACATATTGTATAATTGCCTTGTAATAAACATGTATATACAAGTAGATACAATAGTGTGGGAAAGTGGAAAGAGCAACTTAGCCTTTTCCTCCCACTACTGTTGCAATAATAACTTCATACAATTTAGTTTTGTTGACAGCCTGAGGAACTAGGCTGACCAGGGTTGGCACCTACACCAACCCCTTACAAGCACTGTGCCTAGTTACACATCTGTGCCCTAATTTACTAACCGGCAACGAGAACAAGAAGGGGGATAACTCTAGTTGATTTTATCACTAGGGTGTAACCTATCTACAAGTTATGTATATATATAGTTACATAGAGGGCGGGCCTGTGAATGGCAGGGCTGAGCGGAGCAGAGCTAACAGAGTTACATGTTAGCCGACTGAATATTACTGACAAGTTGGGTTACAGGTTTAGCGGAGTGATGGGCTATAACCCAGAAACAGAAAGGAGGGATCGGCCCAAAGGTAGGCTTGCAGGGCAAGCAACTAAATTGCCCAGTGGAGGTGGGAGTGTGCTAGCAGACATCGGAGCTGTCTGGAGGCCTTTGGGGCTCCATACTTAGGGAGGCATAGGTAATATATTGGATTGAGGGGGTGATGACCATTGGGGGAGTTGGAGGTCGTTGCAGAATCCAGAGGCTCCAAGGTTAGTGATGAAGGAGTGGAGGTGATCTGGAAGGAGTGGAGGGAGTGGAGGGTGATGGCTGTGGATGGATATGACAGATTTTGCGAACTACTGCTTCATGATCAGGGTCTTCCCCAAAATTGTAAAATATGTTTACTTCCCTATTTGGGAAGATTTCTTGGTCATTCGGCTTGTGAGGCATGAGCTGGGATACATGGAACCTTGGGTGGACTCCATGTTGTTCAAGTTGTGGTGGCAACTTGAGGATGTAGTTCAACATCTCTGGAAATATTTCCAGAATTTCATAAGGCCCTATATACAGGGGCTTTAGTTTGCCTGCCCTTCCTTTGGGTAGGTTCAACTTATCTGTGGATAAGTATGCAAGCTCACCTTTTCTCAAAGGCGGGTCTGGGCATCTTTTCTTATTCACCTGGATTGTGTGGGCAGTGCGATTGTGTGCTGCCATGAAGTTTTCCTTTGCCTTTTGGGCAAAGTTGTTCACTCCCAGGTAGTCCGAGGGTGGTGCTGTTAGGCACATCTTTGGCATGTGGCCATAGATTAATTCAAACAGGGCAAATCCTGTCGATGCATTTGAACTTGCATTGATTGTGAATTCTGCCATTGACAGCTTCGCTGCCCAGTTGCATTGATCTGGTCTCACCATCACATGTAGTATCTGTACTACTTTTTGAATCATTCTTTCTGCTTGGCTGTCACCTTGCAGATGGAATGCAGTTGTGAATTTCAACTGCACACTGAGTATTTGGTGTAGTTCGCACCAAAATTTTGATGTGAATTTTGAGTCTTGATCTGATATGATTGAGTGTGGTAGACCATGAAGTCTTACAACTTTGCAAAGGAATATGAATGCTAGTTCTAATGCGTTTGTTGTTGTTTTTATCAGAATCAGGTGGATGTTGGACGTCAACCTGCAGATGATTACCCAGAGGTAATCATATCCCAAGCTTGTTGGGAATGGACCTGTGAAGTCCATGGCTATTGACAACCATGGTGTTTCTGGGGTCAGGAGTGGGTGAAGCAGTCTGGGATTTCTCCTGGTGCTTTTCTTTGTTGTCTGACAAGTTCTGCAAGACCTGCAGAACTTGTGGGTGTGTCAGGGCACACACCCTAACTAGCCCGGACCCGGACCCACATCCAGACCCAGACCCAGACCCGCATGTGTGCTCCGTCCTGCATGCTCTGTGCACTGTAACGGGTCTATCCAACTAGACTTGCAACTCAGGTCTGGGGGGGGTAGGTCTCTCTCTATCTCTCAGGTAGGTATGGTCCTTGAGTACAGTGCTGATACTCTGTGTAACCTCTAACTAACTCTCTGTACAGTTGTCATGGAAGAGTCTGATACAAATATAGAAGGAAAGTCACATGCATGAATGAATGAAAATAGTAAGGAAAATAAAGAAAAAGTCATATCTCCTCAACTATTCCACCAAATCCGACGATCTTAGACTCGTCAGAACCACCTCCACAGTCTCTACAACTCCTACTATTACCACGACTCACCACTCCTGGTCCCTGATGCAGTAGGGGGTGAAATGTGTGATAAGTGTTGGTTTGACCTGCATGGACTTGTCCCCACAACAGTGCTGCATGCTCTGGGCCCGGTTCCCATTTCTCATGTGACTTCCGGGTATCCCCAGAAGTTTTCGCCATAGTGGGCCACTGTGGGAAAGTGAGAAGTTAACCTTCTTCTCACTTTCTTACCCACAGTAGGCAAGTGTATCTTACTTGCCTGTTAGAACTGGGCGAGGGCGGACGATTCCAGAGGGGAATCGGAGACTTAGCAAGGAGGGACCTTGGCCTCAGTGACTCAAGTGGAGCGCTGTGCCATTGCTGTTTGTCCATTTGGTCCTTAATTTCATAGGAGGCAAGCAGGAAGTCTCTAGGGGGCATTTCAGGTTGATTTTAGACTAAGGCCTAAAACGAGTATGTACAGGCGCCGATATATATAATGGGAGGGCGAAAGCACAAGGAAACAAAGGGGATCCAAATCGGAACGAAGGTGTCCGAACGGGAACAAAGGGAAGACTGAAGCGGAGCGGTACTGAAGGTCATGAGGCAGAACCTGTGGTATGTCCGAAAGGAGGTAAGGAGGGCAAGGCCCAGAGGGGCAGGAGGATGAGGGGAAGTGGGGATGATGACTATGTTAGAACCGGGTGGAAACAGACGACTCCGGAGTGGAATCGGAGACTTAGCGTGGAGGGACCTTGGCCTCAGCGACTCAAGCGGAGCGCTGTGCCATTGCTGTTTGTCCATTTGGTCCTTAATTTCACAGTAGGTGAGCAGGAAGTCTCTAGGGGCATTTTCGGACTGAACCAAAACGAGTATGTACAAGTGCCGATATATATAATGGAGGGGGCAAAAGCACAAGGAAAACAAAGGGTAACTGAATCGGAACGAAGATGTCCGAACGGGAACAAAGGGTAGAGGGAGCGGAGCGGTACCGAAGGTCATAAGGCAGGACCTGTGATACATCCGAAAGGAGGTAGGGAGGGCGAGGCCCAGAGGGGCAGGAGGATGAGGAGAAGTGGGGATGATGACTAACTGGCTAGAATAGGAAGAAGCAGTAGTCCAAATAGGGATGAGGGGAAAACGTGAGAGATACATTACAAGTGGCGAAAGTGCCAAAGGCGATCCGCAAAGCTCGGGGGTTACGGAGCTTACGGAGCTTACGGAGGCGGGGTTGAAAGTCCAAGGGATATTGGCAATGGTGTTTACGTAGTATGAGGTCACCAATGCAATGGACTAAGACCGAGGTGGAGTCAAAGTCCGAGGTAGGGACTATGACGGAGGCTCGGAGCAAGGTACGAGCGGTGTCTGAGTGCGAAGTATGGGACAGCGGTGGAAGGTCGTAACTTGGTGGGAGGGTGGCGGAGGAGTACCAGAGGGAGGAGAGAGGGGAAAGGTAAGGGAGAAGGAGTGGCAGAAAAGAGAGTTGTCAGGTCCAAAGGTGAGTATCGGAGCGGACGGGGGAAGCGTAGGAGGGTGCGGGAGGGTGGTGTGTTGTGAAGGAGGAGCGGAGTAGGAGGGTGGTGAGAGGGCAGTGTTCGGTCCGAGGTGAGTATCAGAGCGGACGGAGATAGGGGAGGAGAGGGGAGGAGGAGTAGAGGTGGTGTGAGGGGTAAAAGGAGGTGTGTTTCCAGGACTGAAGGTGAGTATCGGAACGGCAGCGGCAGGGTATGACTCCGGAGGTGAAGTCCGGAAGTCGGGTCGGGGTCGGGTCTGCACGGAT